AGTCGATGCACACTGAATGAAAACGCTGATATGGCATTTTTACAAAACTGCCCCCAATCTGGCATCTAAAATCAATAATTTCACAGAACCCTATGTGGACATCACAATCTCCTCTTTAATTGTTTGATTTCAGGATCCTGTCCCTCCAGTGTTTCTGAATATTTAAGTTAAGGTCGAGATCAACTCTGTATCAGATAGCCATTAGAGTTTGAGAATTCTAAACATAAAAGTATCGCAGTCAAGTTTCAATCTAAAATAAAGCACTCTCTGATTGGCCTGCTGCCTTAAGTTTCCAACCAATCACTATAGGGTAAACTGCAACATGACGATGACATGGACTAAGGTACATTCTGACGTACCTGCCGCAGCCTGATTCTCCACAGATGGCCCTGGTTCGTCGACCATAGTAAAGAATGTTCCAACCTTTCAGCCATCCAGAACTTGACGAATGAGGTAATCACTTCCGGTACCATTGGCTCTTTAGTGCCCAGGCTGCAGCCTGAACAGTCACAAAGAAGGTAAAAGTAAAATGGTTAAGTTACAAGAGCTGAAATAATTCATCGTTATTTTCTAAGTCTTTTTCTCTGAGAGCAAATCGCAGAAGGCACGTCATGCGAAACTGTTTCGATCTCTCTTTCCCAAAGATTCAAACGCAAACTTGCCTTTGTAAAGGAATCATAACACGATTTCTGACACGTACTAAATTTAGCATAAAGCCCCGTTCACACCGTGCTGTGACTCTCTGTCATCGTTCGAAAAAATTCTCCACTGAAAACAGAGATTTTCAAACTACAAATAATTTTCAAAACGGCACTATAGGCCATACGGTAACTAAAATGTACTCAGAGAATAATTGAAAAAACGTAACTGCGTACGGACAGTCCAAAATTGAAAGGATTTGGCTAAATTTCAGTACCTGTCTCCCTTCCTTGAAGTTTACCTCAAGATTTAGCATCTTTCTCGTTTGTACTTTTTTGTGATTTTATTGAATCAAAGAGACTGCTGTTTCACCATGTTTTTGAATGACAACTCGTTGCTTGCGAATGGGAATTTCAATGTTGCGTTCCAATAAAATTTAGCTGACCTCCCCTTAAGAGTATCCGGTGCTCTAACAATCCTCGCTCATGGACGGTCAATTGTCTAAAGTTCCCCCTTCATACTCTTTGCAAACATATTTTGAACTATTGGAAGTACAAACCTTCACTTTAGACTCCATGCCTCCCCTGCCAACACGTGACTTTTCTCCAAATTGAATATTACTGACGTTCGCTGGCCTGAATGTGTCTAGAAGGCGAGACTCAGGCAGGTCGGGAGGGCCGCTGTAAATGTCCTGTACATCTGATAATATCAACAGCAAATCTGACTTCAGTTCCACTGTTAGCAAGGAAGATAAACTATCATTGTCCTTTACACTTATCACCTGATGAAAACAACGAGAATGGAATCTTCTTTAAGTACAGTGGAATAACAGTCACGTTATTACGAAATTCACATTTACGTTGAAGCTTAATAGTTCATTCATTCATTCAGTCATTCACAGTAACATCAGGAAGTCACAGAGGAAAGTTAAGTAAAACCCCAAAGCAATTCCGTATTACTTTCAGCACACAATTGAAAACTGCTCTAAAATTTTATCTGCAGCTAAGATTCCTGGCTGATCCTCGGTGTAAAAACCTGTGAATCTCATGAGTAACGTAAAACAAAGACAACAAAACACTATAAACAATAGCGTACAGCAAAACAATACCTCATGAAACAAAGAAACCCTCCTTAGGTTTTTACACCGAGGATGACCCAGATTCCTACATGCTT